TATATGAGTCCAACAAAGTCTTCTTGTCTTAGTGCAGCCTCTTCTCTTCATAGATCCATTTCCAGCTCTTTGCGTCTCATCTTTAACAGTTGAAGCTCATCATCTCCTAAGTCTGCTAGTGTGAAATCCTCGTTGTTTTCTTGAATCTGTTGCTTGATTGCTTTGATTCGTTTAGTAATCCAATTGACCCATGCCTTTTTGGTAGGTTTGGGTTGATATAATAATCGTCAAGGTTTCAGTGGGATAGGTGGAGGTGATGGTACTGGAGGTATTGGTATTTCTTGGAATTCACTGGGCATGGCTTGGGCTAAAGGAGGGGGGTTCTGGTATTTGTGGTTGTGACTTATTGGATGTTTGTTCATGATTACTTTGGTCCACATTTTCCTCTTCTGATTGTTGTGTCTCCTCTGTTGGGAGTTGATGATACTCGAATGATACCCCTTTCATCTTTTGGAATTTCACATCTCTTACTTCAATCACAGTATGCTGTTTTGGTATGTAAATACAGTAGATTCTTGGACTGGAAGTGTATCCAACTAGGTGACCTTCTTCAAATGTTTGGTCAAACTTTCCTCACTTCTCAGCTGGGATGTGTACCATAATATTTGTGAATGAAGGATAGAGATAACTGATGGTGGGTTTCATTCTGTATAGTTACTCAAAAGGTGTTGTTTTAACTTTAGAATGCCATCGAATATTGGAGAGGTAGGTGGCCATGGAATAGGCCTCTCCCCATAAGGATTTCCTTTCAGGTGGCATCATACATCTTACCATCGTGGTAAGTATCCGATGTATCCTTTCTGTGATACTGTTCGATTTAGGGTTATATGCAGGAGAAGTTGTGTGTGTGATTCCTTTAATCTTGAAGAATTCTGACACTTTCTGGTTGACATACTCGGTACCTTGATCAGTGTGAAAACATTTGATTCGTTTACCAAACTGTGTTATTACAGTTTTTTTAGAATTGTCGTGTGGCTATTTCTGCTCTATCCTTCACTTTCAACAGGTATATCTAACAGTATCTGGTATAGTAATCTACAAAAGTCATGTAGTATTGATTTCTATCGAGAGTAGCTGTAGACATTTCACCACTTAAGTCCGAATGAATCTTTTCGAAGGTGGCATTAGTCTCGATTTCTTTGGGTTTTAGCTTAGCATGTATTGATTTTGTTCATTTGCATGTATTGCATATGAAGTTTACAGGAGGAGTGAGTAGGGTAGAGTCCTTGTAACAACCCTTAATCACACTTGGATGTCCAAGGCTCTGATGCCTTTCTCCATAAAGTGAAGCAAAAGACTTTTTATTCAATGTTCTAACACTTCACAACTCATTCTTCTTATCTGCTACTATGAATATTTTTCCTTCCTTCTCAAACATCCTTTCTCCATTCTCAACCACTATCTTTACTCCTGTATTCTCTAAGCGAGATTCGGATACCAAGGAGAATTGAAAGGAGAGAACATACAGAGTCCGTATAACGACAACTGTGTGTTTAGATCCCTTTGGTAGTCGCACGTGAAGGGATGCATCTCCATATACTGTTGAAAAATGTTTACTGCCATCTGCCATTACTATTGTATTAGACAAGGGGGTGAGACTGAGGAAGTCACCTGTGTTGGGTGAAATAGGATTCATAGCTCCAGAATCACACAACCAGTCTAGTGTCATTTCTTCCTTCTCAGGTTCCATTTCCTTTTTGGCTTTCACCATCAGGACCGTAACAGTTGCATCAGTAGTAGCAGCGGTATGGGATTTATTTCTCTTCTTTTCTTTCTTGTTTTCTCATTTGAGACCTCGACATTTAGAAGTAATATGAGTATCACTTTTCTTTCCTCTTGCTACATACTATGTATACCCACCTCTTGGTTTTGGTGGTTTGTTAGGTACTATAAGTACCTTCCCCTCCTCTTGACTTCCACTGACTCTATTTCTTTCTGCTGGCTGACCAGTAAAATACTATCAGATATTGACGTATCGCTTAATCTGTGCAATCAAGAGTTGGTCGTATACTCCTCGATGTAGCGCTTTGACTGACATCACAGAAAAGGCTTCCTTGAATCACCTCTGATATGGTGAATCGTTGCATATTTTTACAGAATTCGTTAGTAGTACTATCGTTCAGAGTGGATATGGCACCTCATTGGGCATGTTGGTTCCAAGCTGTTTCAAACTTGGTGACATGGTCATTAATATCTTGTGTGGAGGAAAGTTTGTATTCCCAGATACCTTCTAGGAGCATCATGTTGGTAGCAGGGGTTTCTTTGTCGAATCGGTCTTTGAAGAACTACCAGACTTTGGCTGCAGTCTTTTTTGATACAATTTCTGTGTGAAAAGGTGAATCAACTGCCTGATAAAGGTACAATTGTTGGAGGGTATCTTTCTTCTTCCATTTCGTAACAGTTTCTGAACTGTCAGAGGCTCCAATTGTGGGTATTTCAGGTTTCACATTGGTACCAGTGACTATCTCTTTCAATTCAAGGACTTCAAAGCCTACCAACCAGGCTCTGGCCCAAGTTTGGTAGTTGTCTTGTCCATGAAGTTTAGGGTAGTCTTTGACTTGGATTTTGATGCCTGCCTCAGACATGAGGGAGGGAATAGATGTATGGGAGGAATAAACAAAAGTATGTCAATTTGTTTTCGTAAGTAGGATGGGAGACGGTAATACACTCGCTCAGAGTGTACTTATAGCCTTATGGTATATGATGTTTGGCAATGCTGAAGAACTTACAAACCCAGGCTCATAACCTGTTCAATTTTCCCTCTAAGTCACTTGTACTTGTGATAAGTATGGTAGACTTGATAAGATAAATATCCTTAAGACTAGTAAGATAAATCCAAGCTTGCATGCTCTATTAACAGGAAGGAAATCTATACCCCTATATATACCCGGCCCCTCTATCATTACACGAGCACTGCCCCATACCAATGAAATAACTAGAACCTGCTAGAATCTACTAGTACATTTATTGGTCATATGACTGTGTCACATGACCAACACAGCCACATCACCGGTTAGGAATAGGATACTGTATATTTCAACAACTCTCAACCTACAGATTCCTGGTATCTCTATGAAAGCCTCACAAAGTGCCCCTGATCTTTTTATAAACAAGTAATGCATTTCCGAGCCAGCATTTCCAGCCCTCCACTTCAACATATTTTAGGCAAGCCTCTACCTAGCCCTCTTCAGATATACTCGAGTACTAATGCTAATCTAATCGAGAGGGTAATCATGGTGGAAGTTACCTCGGAACTAATAGGACACCTTAAGGTGGAATATTGGTAATGTTCATTACGAGGTGGGGCAGGGAACAGGACCGGAGCCTGTGGGTTTCAGGGCCCCGGAGGCCCCCGTAACAAACACTAAATAGTGAGTATTAATGGAATGGTTCAAAAGGACGCTGGACAACACTCATGGTACAAGGTTCAGGATGGAGGGAGTGATATGGATAATGGTACAGGTGACAGGATGGTGACAAATAATCAAAAGCTTCATCATGCATACGAGAGAGTTAGTGTATACCTATTGAGTATATTACGAAGCAGAGAAATTCCACTTCCTAATCCGCATTCTTGGCCTCTTGTGGGTGGGTAATGCCCAGATCGTAGAGAAGCCTGAATTGGACTATAATTCCGCTTTCGAGTTCGTCTGACAGGCCTGGCCTGGCCGGGCCTCAAATACCTCCAGACTGTGAATTGATATGACTGTGGACGAGAAAAGAAGCTTGATTTTCTTACCACCTGCGCAGCAGTGGGCTTTTATGGTAACTAACTATCAAGTGAAAGAAAAGAAATAACAAAGGCCCGAGGTCGGTAACATGAGGACCTCGGAGGAAAGAATTTGACGAAACCTCGGTGAGGAAGAAAAACAAATGAGAACCTCGGAATACCATAGTTGAATATGGCATGGTTGTGCGGTTGTGAAACGAATAGGGAAGAAATGAGGAAAAACTCAAACAGTAACTAACGTTGAAGAGAGTGGTGAGGAAGTACTAGGAGAAACTAGTCTGTTTGACGGATAAGCACTAAACTCAACACAGACCCCGAGTGACAACGCATGATTGCCTCCCAAGTTGGTACCAATCTGGCTGCATCTTCTGCTGCTGCATTGTACACGTCGCATACATCCGGGTTCTGAATGTGTATACCTGTACCCCCACCAGAATATAAAAGGTTTGCGTTGCTTTTCCCTTCTTGTTGTTTCTCCCCTCTAGCTGATCTTGATGGCCCTTTCAGAGGCAGAAGACATAATACATGAAATATGAGCACAATTTCTATTGTTAACTAATATATATCCACCATTGATGTAGCGTTCGTTACGGGGCCTCCGGGACCCCGAAACACCGGCATCCAGCCCCGGACGCGGGGGGGGCGGGGATCTGCCCGGAGGTATTCCCCCCGGCCCCCTACAACTGTGGCGCCTACAAATAAAGGCCCCCCCCGCCCGGCCCGGTAACGAACTATACATTGATAATCGAATGTCAAATAAAGACTATTGCCCTATGGCCTCCTTAATTTATTCTCAGGCTCTGAGTGCAAACTACCCAGAGCAATGACTCTTCAAGTTATGAGACTGCCACAATGCAGCAATTGCCTCCACCGATGGCCGCCACAGACAGCTCATCACAACTGGAACCCGCTAGGAAAAAGGATGAGCCAACATTTCCTCGTGGGGATGTTTTGACGGCTGAGAATATCGATTACTCCGATGATTCTCTGAAAGACATGAAGCCGCCCTATAGCTATGCCATGATGATAGCAGAGGCCATTTTGTCAAGTGAGGGGGAGCAACTAATACTGTCTGCTATCTACTCCTTCATCACGGAGAGATAAGCATTCTACCGGCACTCCAACACAGGTTGGCAGGTTAGTCACGATTGTTTTCTCCTTTTGGTTTGGTTGGCCTAACATACCATCCCAGAACTCTATCAGACATAATCTCTCACTCAACAAGACCTTCCGGAAGATTCCTCGACGTACTGATAAGCCAGGCAAAGGGATGAAATGGGAATTGCTTGCGGAACATCGCGACAAATATATCAAGAAAATCCAGAAAGTCACAAAGACTGGCTCCTGGCGTCCCAGGTCTGCACCAGGGTCGCCATCCCCACCCAAGCCTGCTAAGAGTAATCAAGACCAGGGGCAATACGGAATGAACCAGCAACTTCCACAACCTTCTTCTCAAGGCTTAAGGCTGGATGATTCTCACGACCTAGGCACCGGGTATCCTACTATCAAAAACTCAAGATCTGTTACACCACCCCTGGTTGCCTCTTACAATAAAGTTGCACCACTGGAGGCCTACACACCTCATCGTGGATCTCGTCTTCCCGCACTACGTACTCAAGGCGAGGCTCTGAATGACTTGCCGACTAACCCTCACAACCCCCCAAGGTCAAGTATCATCACTGTGGCACATGCTAATGATATGGTTTCTTCCCAGAATCACCGTCCGTCATCGGTACACGGCGATTCCGCTATTATGCCTTCGCCGCCTCGCCATTCTCCTTACGCAGATGACCACCTGGCGTTGGGCGTGGTGACACCTGCACCACAGCGCCAACACCCCCGCCTTGCCCCTCATTCTACTGGACAACTCCCATCGTACTACCTTCCAACCTTCTCTCCAGCCCCGTTCTGGAAATATGTCTAGTTTGGGTCTACACCTGCAAAGCCCGGAGACTATACCCCTTTGAAGGATTTGCATAGGTCTTCTCCACCACCGGTTTCTGGGCCTAAGGGAAGCAGTAGGATTAGAGAATTGGGCAGTCCGTTGAAGGAACGTGGTAGCAGTTGTCACTTGGCGGGGGCGGGACAAGCCTCATACCGGATATCAAGGAAGATGACGATGAGGATGAACTTGGTGACATGCAAGGTATTGATTTGGCTAGGTAAGTTCACCCTCTCCCAAAGTCCCTTCAAGTGCAATAAGGTGTGCTAACGGCCATAGGGGGTTCGAAAAAATCGGAAAATTCCACTTGAATGGAAGGATTGCTGGGGCCGACTGCGGCGCGCCTTGAAAAGATTGTTGGGACACAACGACGAAAGGAAATGTTAATGACACGGGGTTTTTCCTATTTTCTCTTGCTGGGACAATTCTTATTCTGTATCTATCATGCGTAACGACGGGATCAAAAAATCTTCTGGCAGCAAACTGTTTTCCGTTTGCCGAAAAAGGATGTTGCGACGGCCTTTTGGAAAATCACAATAACTACTTGCACCAATGATTTACGACAGTCTCATAATTCAATGAATGAATGAATGAATTTTTTGCCCCGTCAGCATATGACGGGACACTAATATCAAACACTATTCACAAAGTCCCCACACCCTACCGTGTGCCTGTGGCAGTGTTTTGGCAAGTGAGAATGTACACCGGAACCGGATGTACATTATCACCAGCCGCAACACTACCACAGATACGGGTTGGGTGCGGGGGCTTTGTGAACAGTAGCAGAAAAGAGCTAGAACCAGCGACTTCTCAAAGTTTGACAAACACCCTTCATTTCACCAGTGTTCTCAACCGTCCGGAGCCCCCTTAGGGCCTGACGGAGGGACTGCCAAGAGCCCGGGACGGGACGCGACGGCGACATATAGTCCGTCCTCGTCCTTGAACTCCTAGGACGGCCATCGTGAGGAAGGACGATGAGCGCCACGATCTGAGACAACTTCCGGTAGAGGACGGCAGGTGAGTGCATAGGACCATCGGGGATCGTAGGGGACGACGGGGTACGGTGAGGTACGGTGGGGAAAGGCTGGGGGTTTAAGGGACGCCAGGGGACAATGGGTGGATGGTCCTTTACTCTTATGTGTCGGGCAAGTTCAGGAAAAGACCGGACGGGACGACACAATGCAGTCCGTCCTGGTCCTTCATTCCTACCTGTCGGGCATGTTGAGAAAATGACCGGACGGGAGGACAAAATACCGTCCGTCCTGGTCCTGGTCTAGGATGGACGGACTGCCCCGTTGCAAACACTGCATTTCACCGTGAATGCTTTTGACTTCCCCGTAGAGAAGTTTAATTTCGTCGCGAACCTGGTGGACTTCACTACGGACGGTCCCGATTTGCTTTCCGAGATGTTCTTCGGTGATTGTCATTGCTCCCTGGAGGTCTGCCCGTGCCTGGCGTTTGTTGTGGGTATCCAAATACAGTAATTTGAACAAGACCTATAAAAGTGTTAGCACAGCATTGAGGAAATGATATCTTCTCAACATACCCCCCCAACCACCGTTCCACACGCTGCGACAATTCCCCGTAAAAATATTTTGATGATGAGATAGGTCTCGTTTCTTCCGGCTTGAAGATCGGTCCTGATCTCCTTTAGGCGTCCTTCAACATTGGTTAACTTTTCGTTCATAGTGGTCTCAAGAACAAGGACGCGCTAGTGACGGATTAGCCTTTCTATCACAGCAGTTAAGGACACTCCCGTTTAAAAAGTCTTCGTAACCACACTGGTCCATTCATGTAGTTGTAGCTGGCGTAGCATGTTAGTGCCAGCAGAGTATTGCCACAGCTACATGAATGGACTAGTGTGGTTACGAAGACTGTTCAAACGGGAGTGGAGGAAGGGAGACCAACGTCCGATAAGTCACGCTTCTTATTAGTAGCAACCCCGTCCCCGCCACTAGTTCCGCTCTCTCCCAGTGTTCCCAAGCGTCCAGTCAGTCCGTCCTTAGCTTCGGACGGGACGGACACCGGTTTCTAGAACTCTGCCCTGGACGGACGCCCGACCTGTGGTCCGTCCTAACCACTACCCGGGACGGCCGGCCGGGCCCTATACATGACGGCCAGGCTCTGCGAATGGCGACCAGGCCCTGGTGAGGACGGCCGGAAGATGCCATTTTTATTAAGACTCCCGGGCCCGAGCGTCAACCCCTCGGACGGCGGTCTTGATCAAGGACGGACGCCATGCCCTGCCATCCTTACCCACGCTGCCCGGGACGCCCGGGACTACAAGCCCGCCAGGGCCCTGTAGGGCGCCCGGGACGGTTGGGAACACTGCTCTCTCCCTAGGTACCGTTTGGTTTTTGACCTCGACCCCCCTCTCCGGCCCCGCCAGTCTCCCGGAATGAGGCCTTAGGGGGTTGGTCGGTCTCATTCCCACCAGGTCTCTGGGGATGGGGGGGCTCGGGAAAAAAAAAATCCGACCTTATCAGTCTCTTGGGGTGGAGAGGTCTTGGGAAAGTCGTCGACACCATCAGCCCCGTCAGAAAAAAACGCCTTGAACATACGCCATGGTTGCTGGGCGGCTGGGCGGGACATCAAGGAGCGAGTACGGCCTGTATGATTGATCTAAATCATCAGCGTCCCGGTTAGCATACATTCGGTACATACTCGCAATGTCGTGACGTTCTTATAAATAACTACTCGAGTAGTTATTTATACGAAGGTACAGCGTGTAAGTTTTGTAGGTTCCACAAACGAGGACTGCCACCCTCACCCCCTGTGTAACCTACAAAACCTTCACGCTGTACCTTCGTAAGAAGATTACTTACCTTCCCACGTTCGGCAAAAGAGAGTCCCCTGCTACCGGTAAGAGAGAGAGAAGGGGTGGGGCGAAAAGCCCCCCCCCCGACGAGCGGACGGATGCGAGCGGATCTCGAGACCCCGAAGCTAAACATCTAAATCATCGTTAGCATGATTTCGATATACTGTAGTACCCATACCATTTGGGACAGTCAGCTGTCAGCATTTTATGTCCCGTCCCAGAAAATCAGCATTTTTGTCAGTGTCAGTTGGTACTGTTCCAACTATTAGGACCTGTCAGTTGAGACAAATTTAGGAACTATACTGGTATTGTAATGTACTATGTACAGAATCCTATCCTTGGCTTCCATCGGGTTCCTAATGACCTAAGATAACTTGCACTCCCACTCTAAATTGACTTAATCCTATAGTAATTAGGTGCAAAAGTAGGATTTTTGATCTATAACACAGTTACATACATGGTCTGGGAGCCTCCCCACAGTCTGAATCTGAATTTGCACTCCAAGTGCTCCTCCTGTCTGCTGCACCAGTAGAGTTCATCTCATATGGATCCCATTGCCTTACTTCTCCATCATCCTCACTCTCAGCCTCTGTATCAGACTTATCAGCTCATTGAATTCCACTATTGCAGGAAAGGTGCACTGATCTTGTAAATCTAATTGAGAGTCAAGGATCCTAAAGGTAAATTACAACCAGATGCAAGGCTTTTATTCTTAGTTTGACTACCTTGGCTAATGCCCTACATACAGTTTATTCTCTGGTAATATCATACATACCCTTAAGCTTAGGAATCAGGTTTATCATTTGACAGAGCAGATCTAGTACTTGCCCAATCAGGATTGTGAATATGGTATATATGTTGTCCCATTGTGTTTTGTGTCAGTACAGACTGTCCCAAGTACATTTACCTAAAAATTATGGTCAGCAATTTATGTCTGTCCCAAATGGTATGGGTAGTACAGTATTGCTAGTGGAGAGGGCTTGCCGTTGCGGTTTGCGGAGGAAGAAAGAATGAAAAAATGAAAAAAAGAATGAAAAAAAAGAACGAAAAAAAGAAAAGGAGTTATTTGTCCTCGGTGATCGGTAACAGAACGACTGGTCTCGCCCTGCAGGGGCTAGATGCCTACCGGCTGCATCTATATCGTGCCGGGGCGCCAAGCGGGTCCGGTTCGTGCTCCCTGTTCAGTGTTCCCAACCGTCCCGGGCGGACGGCAGGGCCCTGGCGGGCAATAGTCCCGGGCGTCCCGGGCAGGGTGGGGAGGACGGCCGGGCATGGCGTCCGTCTTCGATACCGACTCTAGCCCTGCAGGTTGACGGCCGGGCCCTGCAGTCTTACTGAAAAGGGAAGCTTCCGGTAGGGCCCTGGCGTCCTTGGTAAGGACGGGTGTCATTGGTAAGGACGGGCGTCACCTGTAGGGCCCTACCAATTACCCGTAGGGCCCTACAGGCATTTCATAAATTCACCAATAATGTGTGGTTGCCCTATTAGCTTAGCGCTTCCTTTTTACACTTGAAGAGTGAATAAAATATGCTTAAATATACCACCCGGGGAGAAGGATTTCTAATTTCCATAAGCCACAGTGACGAAGAGAGGTCTGCTCCAGTTGACCTGATTTTCCGATAGCTAACACCTTCTAATTCCTCTACCTAGACTACTAGTATTATGTCGGAAGCACTATCATACTCCTCGCAGAAATGAATCCATCCACCGGTGCACTGACAGCAACTGACCTTCCACCACCTCTTGATGATACCCTCTCGCGCTGGCAGCAGAAAAAGCGGGCTAGACCTACAATGGGGGATATATATCAGTTTCATTGGTTTCAGGCAGCTGAAGAGGAGGAAGAGGTTCCCGATATTCTGGCTTATTGGGCACTATGGTTCAGTAATCCTCGTTGGACTCAACTAGCTCATATGGCACTTGAAATATATAGTATTGCTGCTATGTCAGCTGAAGTCGAACGTGCATTTAGCAGGTATGTGATGGTTTATATCATATTCAAATTACTGTAACTAAGGTTACAGAAATACATGACTTTCTAATTCTGATTCATGATCACATTTAGTGGTACCAACTTGATTACCGATTACCTTGGTCACTTGGGTGATGAGGTTATTGAGGCTATTGAGTGTACGAAATTATGGCGGAAGGCAGGATTGATTGCAGAGAAGCCACTGGCGGATGTAGAGAAGATGCTTAGAGATTTGGAAGAGGGGGCAACAAGATTAGGTCAGGAAACTGGTACAGGTTCAGGTTGCTCAGAACTGGGATCGGATATGAGTACACAGCTTGGTTGATTGATCACCTCGTTTGATACCTGGTGTCAAAGTATCATGTTATTAGCATTTGAATTAAAGTCTCTCGTGTCCTCAAGTACCGGCTTCAGACCAATGATATTTAAAAATAACGGGTCAAATGAGACACCTGTAGGGCCCGGCCGTCCGTCCCGGGCATGGGTTAGGACGGACTTCAATTTGGCGTCCGTCCCGGGCAAAGGCCTCAAATTCGGCGTCCGTCACGTCCTAGGCGAAAGACGGACGGACTGGACGCTTGGGAACACTGGTATCGTCCATATAGGTGGTAGTGTGGCACGCTTCTTCGGAGTGGGGGGCGGTGATGTATCCAAGGGACTTGACCATCCCGTCTGAGGGAACCCGGGACATTACTTTCATCATATGTTCTCTCCGTGCTTTTGTGCGCTAGCTACAACTAATTTAAGATGGAATTCGGGTTTGGAGTGGTGGGTTTAGGTAGCGTACGATAAAATCAAATACAATATCAGAACAGTAACTTGGTACAAGCTCGCCAAGAACCACTTGCCGATCTAGTGCTGGAGAGGAAGAAAGGCGCTTCATAGCTCTCAGTAGGAATCCATTGAAGGAGAAGGTTTACACTACCCATGCTTGCACAGAGTAATGGAGAAAAATAGTAGCCGATCTGGATACACATGCGAGGCCCCTGGAATGAGGAGAGTAAGATTATGAATTGAACTTTTATGCAAAGGGATCGAGAGAAGAGATAAAACTCGCACTATCCTCGGGGACAACAAGCAACGAACAGATAAAAACAAGGCGAAAGAGCAGGAGATAAATTTATTTTTTAAGTGTACTCAGTTGGCCATTGGGATATACCCCTGCTTACGGATCTCTTTTTCAGCTAAATGGCGAAGTCGCGGCAAAGACAATGGAAAAAGGGTCTGGGGATTTTGGCCAATGGGATATCTGCCCCCAAAAAGTTCTTCCACTGTGATACAGGGATCGTGATCGGGCTCAGCAGGGGGGGGGAAGATTGCCTGCAAGATGATGGGGTTGGTTAGTAGGATGTAAGAAAGATAAAGATAGGGTAGGGAAGGGAAGAGCATGCGTATGAATCCATAACTAGTGCGTTGTCCGCAAACCGGCTGACGGTTAGAGTGGCCTTAATTTCGTTGTGTATATTCGCCCTGAAGAATTTAAACAACAGAACGACCTTCACAGCCCCAGCAGACCCTTGGAGCCACAATTGGCTGTCACGTTCTAACTGGGCCTGCGACTCGCTCCATCCGGACTCCAGGGCGATCGTTGGAAACTCGGTCAACTCTCCATCATTAATGCGAGGGCTCCAGCTGAGGTCCGCTGTCTTTTTAGATCCCGCGAAGGCACCAACAAAGTTATCATATGCTATTCAATTATTAATATGGAAAAGGGGGCTTCATACGGCAGAGAAAAGGGACATACAACTTAACACATCGCCTATCAAGTGATGAACGCTTAGGGGCAAGAGGCCATGGCCGATCCAGTAGCCGTACTCAGTTCTCATCCAGGCTACAGGGACCTCATGCAGGCGACTCGCCATGACAATACGGAGGTACCCGTCGGAGGCAATAAAGTGAATTCTAGTAATGGTTAGAATGTTCTACCTAGCACTGGATATATACAAGACATAGAGATAAACTATCCCAAAAGTTAATTTAAGTTAACCCGTAAAATAATCACTGTTGTGTACGAAATCTTTATCCCTGGCACTTGTACTCACCTCAAGCCAAGGCCACGGAGATTCTCCCAAGAGGGAAGGTTATCGAGAATTTCGCTGGACAGGGTTGGATCAAGCTTTGAGAAAGTAAGAAACTCGCAGGTGCGAGTCTCAAACGCCTTGTGGATTTGTGCGAGGATTTGTGTGGCCATGATGAGGTGGGCTGCCGCAGTGGTTGAAGTGATGGAAAAAGAAGTTGACAGAGCTTGCGTAGTTTATATAGATTTCACTGGGGTGCACGTAACTTAACCAGGTATCGTAGCAACTGCTGCAGCTGTCGAATAACCCTAACCCTTACCGGCAGGATGCATGGGGGGGGCCGATTGCGGATTGCCGATAATAGTCACATGCCTTGTCTAGGCCATCGATTCCTCTCCGCTTCTTCTTTCTGTTCTTTCTATAGTCTGAACCTTGTATCATACTTGGATACAGCCTCCCCCGACATCCAAGTTTCACCAGCAGCCCACAGCTCAGAACAACCAAGTCTACTCAGGGTATTCAAAGTTAATAACCACAACATCAAGTTGAGTGGTCTTGTCACTATCACATGGTGCACTAAAGCTAAATCAACCAAGAGAATCTTTTACTAAAAGGAAAGGGTGGACCGAGCTCTGAGGACATTATACTAGGATAACAGTGCAACTACTGTGACTTAATGTTGATGAAATTTTACTCACTCAAGGTTTCTTTTTTGTTTCACCAGCTCCTTTCTGCCTGTAGGTTCTGTGCCTGGATCTTCAGGCCATGTCACAATTCTCTCCATCTCCGATTTTGTCCAATCACTACTATTTTACTCCATAACATCAATAAAAAACATGGAAAAATTCAATAGAAGAATGAACAAATATGAAAAAAAATAAACTTGAAAACAATCAATAATACTAATATATAAGGAGCACTTCCCATGACAACAGGGAGAAAATAAAAACACAAAAAAAATACAGACTGGGTTCAAGAGTCAGAGTAATTAAAGACAAATTTGAACCTAAACAACAGATATTTTGGAAAAAAGTGGCAAAGCAAAATCATTGAATAATACAAATAGTATTATTATTGAATTAAAATTATATAGTACTTTTAACTGAGTAAAATAGTTGAATAAATATTTCAATTAAGTATTGATAATTTTGACAATTGATAGTTAACATCTAGAATGCTAGCATATATTTTTTCAGGTATTAGTATATATTTGTTCTTTACTTAAACTAATATTCTACTAGTACAGACATTAGAAGAGTATGAATTTTATCTCTTACTGGCAAATTGAATTTAGTATCCTTTCTATTGTTATGTAGTCAATACTTTTTTTCTAGCAAGTAAAAGAAGAAGGAGAATTATGGAGTTCATACTTGATAGCTAAAATATGATACATACCTAATATTTTTCTGAAAATGATAAATTACAATAACCAAGATTGGTATTGATATTATTTTCTATTAATATTAAATTTGAATAACTTTTAAAAGTATTCAGCATTTTAAACTTTGTTCCATCTAAAATCTGAATTTAACAGAAAGGTTAGTAATCTTGAGACCTGAATTGTCTTATTTTATTAATTATAAATACTAACTTTACTAACTCAGAAAAAAAAGAAGTAATTAGATACACATTTCAGAAGATATCAAAAGACATAATGGAAAGCTTACAGCCTGAGGAGTTCATGTAACAATGCAGTGGATGCAGAAAAATAGTTAAATTAATGAACTTTTCTCTCAAGCATGATGGATCTCAATATAAGACCTTTGAGGTATAAAGAAATTAAGGTACCAATAATTAGCAGCAAAGTCAAAATATAGATAACAGACTATTGAAAGCAGCAAGACAATTGGAAAATAGAAATAGGATAAGAGTCAGCAAGAGAAAGGGTAGTAATTATGAAGAATATTTAGATTTGGAATTACAAGAGAAGATAAATTAAGTGGTATGTAAAAGAATTCTGAAAAATATGTGAAAATAGGTGTAAATAGAGATAAAGTAAACTCAGGATAAACTAGATAACAGTGGAAAAGCAAGAAGTAATGATGTAAGAAACAGAAGAAAATAGGCAGAGAGAAAAAAGATGTCTACAAAGTTTAACACTAAGGATTCAGCATGGCAGACCAACAAGAATATAGCAGGAGCGAACCTTTATGTAGCACCAAGGTAGTCACGGCTTATGCCAGTGGATAAAAGATCTATCAGAGTTCACTGCCAATCACAACTATGGTAGAGGTATAATACCTATCATATACAAGGACAGTTAAGAGTTATACAAGTACCTACTCTTATAATACCTAAAGCTTAGTAGTAGCAAACTGGACAACCTTTACCATCAAGACATAAACTTTCTACATTAATCTATGAGTATAGACAGTATAAAGCATTACACTTCCTAGAAGAAAAGTGTAACAGTGTCACAAACTGTGACTAAGCGAGGCAGATTTCACATAGTTCGGAATTCCGAGCTATAGGTATGTTGGAATTTCACATGATGCACATTAGTGCGCCATAGGTTATTATGTTTACCTGTTCATGACTCATATTTGTGAGTCAAACAATGTTATGATTTTCGCACATGACTCTGATTATGAGTCATGCTAGGTGAAGAGCTACTATATAAAGGGTCACTAGGACCCCTAGTATTAGCTCTTCACACATTCTTCTTGTTTATTTCCTACCTTTAAGATTTTATCAATAAAACCTACCTTTACGCTCTTTGACCTTTATATCACCTTAAGCGAGAAAACTATTTCTCATCCCACGAACCACGCCTGAGTCCTAAATGACGACTTAAGAAGATTAGAGGAATAGACGCGATAAGATAGAAGTCAAAAGGACTGAACTATCAATATATCGTAGGCATAGGCCTAAGAACTATTACCTCGTTTTAAGTAAGAATTGTTACCTGTCGCATTACTCACCCGACCGGTAGGATTCTTAACAAACAGGCTGGGTCTGAGGGTTGGGTAGCCCAAGGCACACCATGATTGGAGCAGGCCGGAGTTTGGAGGCAAGGACAGGTTCAAGGGGTACAACCAAAGCGAGTTGTAGGAAGGTCAGGGGTCAGGGATTCAGGGTTAGGGTTTGAAGGTTCAAGAGGAGGTGCAGTGAAAGAGAGGTGTAATTCCTAGGTACAGGTGTCCAAATTCAATCTAAGTTCATATTTTTACTCGCTTCAGCCAAATCATGTCTTACCAACGAGCACCTCCCGATTGGAGCTTAACGCCGGCCGGGATCCACTGCTGGGACTGGGGCCCTGCTACCCCCTCTAACTAACAGGCACCTAAATACAAGATACCAGTTCTCTGTCCCCGTACCGTTAACCACTCTGGTGAGTGAGCACCAACACCAAAGCTAACGTACAAGTTTATCAACAGTCCAGCACCTATCCGTTCCACCTAGCCAGACCATGGAAATCCCAGCACAATCAATAAATCACTACCACTGGCAGCATTGCTCCGGTCTCGCGCCTCTTATCCTCATAAAATTCATAACAAAAAAAGAAACAAGAGGAAAGAGTGAACTCAACAGCATCAACCCCACCCAGCAGCCAAGAACGTGTTCCAGTACTGTACCTCAGAAGGGCCATGACAGAGGGGCAGTATGAAGCCAGTCTCCCCTAAGCAATCAGTCGAGGCAGACATAGAAGCCCACTCCTTGCACTGTAATAACAAACCTGAGACACCCCTAGGGCGATATTGTTATAGATATCCCATCTTATGTGGAGTCATTCATATCCACCTCCTCTCCATGTTCCTCTGAGTCCTCAGATTCTTGGGTATCTGGACGGGGGCGAGAAGGGCAGACAACTAAGTGGGATTTATGTGGGCCATCACAGTTCACACACCTGGCTGTGGTATGGCTGCAGGGACCGCCATGAAGGCGGCAGGTAGTGGTAGGGTAGGAGTGATCCCCACTAGCGTGGAGGAGGAGGCACCAGTGGCAGGAAGCAGATGAAGCGCATTTGATACTATGGTGGCCGAACTTGTGGTAGTTGGTACACTGAGTATATTTGTTGAAGCGTAGACAGCACTCAGTACGGTAGGTGTTGGAGAACGGGGAGAGGCGCTTGCCAACGAAGGAGGGAGCCTTGGGTCCAGTGATGGAAATAACAACAGTTGAGGCGAGTTTGCCGATCCGTGCTAAATCAGAGGTGGGCCACCTTGGCTGCTCAGTCAGAGATAAGCCAGAATTGCAGGTAGTGAGTTCTGGGGCGAGGGATGCCAGAGAGGTAGAGGTAGCGATGCCATGTACCAGAAGCTGAGTGGCAGGGGTGTCGAGATGAACGGTAGAGGTACCCGGAATAAGGTGCAAAAAGGTTCCGACTTTGCTGTTGATAGTCGTTGCTCTAACTGTGTCCATGGTAGTGAGAGTAACATGTCCATCCCAAAAAGAGACTGACTAGATGAGAGTAGAGGCCAGGGCCTGGTTGATGCTCTCGCATAGCTGTACAGCAGTGGTAGTGAGGGGAGCAGCATCTCGTTTGATGATGAGCTGACGCTCGCGCATAGTGAGGCCCTTTGTCTTGTTGGTAAGAAGCTTAGCCGAGGTAGAGGAGGGTTTGGCTGGCTTGGGGCCAGGCTTTGTAGTTTTCTAGGAGAGCTTCCTTGCCGTCCTAGCGATGGTAGCCCAAGAAGGAAGAGCTGCTGGGCCAGGAGGCTGGGCAGGAGGAAGGGTAGGAGGTGGAGGAGGGAGAGAGAGTTGCTCTGTGGTGTTGGTAGTAGGAGGTGCCAGCGAGGCAGTGGTAGAAGCAGGCTGAGATAGAGTGGACGCGCGAAGGGCATAACAACTCCTCAGTAAGGGTGGTGATGTACTCGGTTAGCCCATCGGTCGCCTTCCTGTAGTCTTCATGCAAAATTTACATCATGTAGATCATGACGGGAAAGGGCTTTGCAAAAGTGAAAGGTTGTTCAATCTCTTCTGCCTCTGCCAGGTCACCAAACATACTCATAAAGATGCCATTAGGGCCTTCGAAGTCGGTTTCTGTGTATCGGTGTAGGAAGGTGGTAGTGCCACTGCAGGGGCGTTTAAGCAAGGGGGGGCCTTGAGGCCGAAAGATAGGTGATAGCTGACCCTGCGAAGCCCCGTCAGGCTATGTAGGAGGTTGCAGAAGAAGAGAGGGTGAAGACCCCACGATGATGG